CCATCGTTGTTTCCTGTCTGACGGAGCGCTGACGTACTGCTACAACGACTGTTAACGCCTAGTGCCTTATCTTTGGTATGCTCTGTGGTGCCATCGGCATAGGTGATAACCGTTGAATTGCTGGTATGACCGACAGGATAAAGGCACGTTCGGGTACAGGATACCAAGAATTTGGATCTGTACAATGGTACGCCGCTCAATGGGTTGTCCTCATTAAGTCTTCTCTAGCTGCATTTCCAAAGTTTCTTGGGCAATATAACACGGTGAAAAGTTCATCTCTATGCACAACCGAGTGTCATGCAAAGGCAACAGGATAAGAACATAATATCGGTATATTCTGAGACTTCCTGGAGGTTTCTCAAGGCCGTTAGGCATTTCAGTTGACGCAGTAGTCTTGATGCCACGTTACCCTGTGAGCCATTGAGAAATTATGGTAAATTGGCAACTCGCTTCTGATATAATCTTCATTCCCGCGCAATAACTGAAGAGTGTCGCTGAGCAGCCCAACCGCCTCTTGAATGCTAGAGAGTCTGTGCACTTGGTGCTTTTCATGGACCAAGAGGATCAATTTCTTCATGAATTCTCGTGAACGGACATCCTGGTTCTTGGTTCGTTTAAGTGACTATTTCCCGAATCCCGCTCCTCAAAATCGCCGATTCCCGTGTCCAGTTCAAAATAGGAATCTGGCTCCCTTCTTACTTTAAATTGCGGCCTTTAAATAGGTCCAATCCTGGATCACGAAAAACCTATAAAGAGAGCCTTTTCAATGTTTAAATTTTCATGGGAAATGCTTTCCTTTGAAATTGGACATACAGAAGTTGTCAAAGCTGCTAGAAATAAGCTGTTTGCAAGTAATGAAAATCAAATTGACAATCATACCTTAATGTTTGACATGCTTCACCTATACAGGTCAGATATATATACCTACCGTTGTAGAGGTGTGACTATTGTTCTCTGTTGATCTTTGTAGCCAAAAGAGCTATCAAAGGCATTAAACGTTTTATGTACACAAGGCACCCTTCAAGGTGGAAGAGTAAGAGACCAGACAATGATTTTTACAAGGCACTTGCACGTACCCTAATCATTTATTCAAGCAATACTCTACATATATAAAACTGATTCCATGATGTCTTTCGCATTTGTTCGCAACAATAGTTAAGATTGTTAGGAAAGAAAACAAACAAATAAACAAAAGACAGTGAAATGAGGGAAACTTTAAATTTTAACATATGATAGAAAAAACGATTACGGAATACATGTACTTAGGAAGGGAAGCTTGAATTGTGCTAATTAATTTCCTCTATAGCACTTCATAATTTTTGATCAAATAAAATTGAATCAGTTGTAGGGTTTAATATGTCAAATTACCAGTGTGGACTTGATTCTTCTAAGATGTCAGCTGGTAAAAGATAGATTCTAAAAATAGATGTCCATAAGAAAAAGTACACATCATCAAAAAAAAAAAATCACACTGAAACTGGGTGAGATTAAATTTATTCCTGTCATGTTTCATTGTGGGTTGTTTACATGGAGAGGTCATTGTTATAATAGCTTCACAGATGTTTTGGTTGCCGTCGCAATTAACATTCATAACAAAGATTCATTTAATATAAAATGTTTCAAGAACTTTCTTAATTTTTCTTCAATACTATTTACTGTTTATCAGGAGCACATTTAAAAGAAGCGAATATAAAAAAATTAAACTTTTGATTCAGGTAATTATTTGACAATGTGAGTAACATTTTATTTTTTCAAACGTAACAGGATGAGCAAGGTGAAGATAGCCTCAAAAAGGAGTGAACTTGACTGTAACAATAAGGTGACTAATTTGGAAACTTGAGCACCAGGTAAATATACCTTGGCTTGCAATTTGGATTACAGTTTGCTGAGGTAATTGGAATGTCACTAACCATGCAAGAACCTTCCACATGACTTGTACAGTCATATATTATGAGATAACTTTAAAAGAGGCATTTGTGTTGGTAGAACTATTGTAAATACAGAACCACCAAGTGACAAAATTGGTGATTTCCTGTGAACACGAATGTTTGGAAGAAGTAATGGTGGTAATTGACCCTATTTTTACATAGGGTTTGATGATTATAATGTGTGTCTTTCAGCTTTCAAACTTTCAACTTTGTATTACTTGTAACTGTTTATCATATCTATTTCTCTGTACCTCAAAAGTTGAAGCAGGTGAGTCTATAACCTGACTTCCTTTGTTTGGAATTGTGAGATTATATAATTTTGCTGTGTAAGTAACCACAGTGTAAAATGTTATAATTATTTTTTAAATTGCATTAAATATTCTTACTTAAGCTTTCTCATACCCGAACTAAACATTGACATAAGGAGTTGGTCACAAGATATATAAGAGTTTCTAAGGGTGGGAATCTGGAAAAGCAAGGATCTTCCTTTAAGTAGGACTGAAATTAGTGGGAACCCTCATATTCTAATTCATGCCTTCAGTTTGACCTGCCTCCTCCCTCTTAATGTTTAAGATGAAGAGAACATTTTTTGTATTTTGACGCATGAAAGTTATATTAATTGATGTCCACATAATGCACAAAGCAATAATATAAATGTCTTAGCTTTATAGGTTGAAAAATTAAAATAAGAGAGTTGTGCAGACCATATCTTACTTTTTATCCTCCTCTGGATATTTCTTTTGCGTATTATCAGTACAAACCTGGTCTAATTTGTACATGAATGTGGTTGTTCCAAGTAGGCTTTAGTGGTAAAATTTCTTGAATTGTCGTGGTATGAATGTTTGACTCAATTTTACCACACTAACCTGAACTGAATGAATAGAAACTTGAAATTCATTTTTTCTCCTTTTGAGGTGTGCATCAAACTTTTGAAGTCATGGCAGACTTGAACAACAGATTTATAGGAAATCTGCAAGCGCATGTGTTTTCAACATATAAAACCGGGATTGTGACAATGAATGCTTTGAATGACTTTACTAGGTGCTGTACAGGTACAGGTACAGGTACAGGTACAGGTACAGGTACAGGTACAGGTACAGGCAGGTGTTGTAAAAAAGTTTGTTTAGCTTTATATTTAGTTCACATTTCTTTTTCTCAGAATCTTGTTTATCTGGCATTTTTCCACCAAATGTTGTATTTTTTTTTATATTCTTAGATCTCCTTGTATCAGTTAACCCCTTAACCCCTAGGAGTGACTGGCGTCTAATTTCTCACCCTTGAATCTCACATTAAAGTCATGAGAATGAAGAAAGTGATCACCAACTAAAGAAGCTTGTGATTGTTGAACAAATTCTTCTTGTGGGCACCTTTGGAAATGTACAGAGAACAGCAAAGAGAAAATGCATAATGAAGATAAGGTGTAAAGGGTTAACACCCATGTAATTAAAATAATTACATGAAATCTAGCAGATGTACGGCACATTTTCTTTTCTTCAGATCCTGCTAACATTTTATTATGTGTAGGGATTGGTATTGACTATAAAATTATAGTCAAATTAAAGTTCTGTGCATAGCCTATGCACCAAATTTATGTATTAAGATATTGCATCCTTCTTGAAACCAATTTTATCACAATAAGAATGAGTTACCAAGCACAAGTATGGCTTTCATGATGATAGTTTCCAGGTTTGAAAAAAGTCACTGCCTTATAAAATCCTCAGTTCCTTTGCTCTGACAGCCCAACCTCATCAAAAAACATTGGCAACAGGAGCAATTAGCAAATTAATGATACAGACAAGAGAGCCTATTCCCACATGCACTCTACTCAATCCTGTTAGCATATTATGGACATGGCATTTCAAACATAGTGTATAGGCCACAAATTTTCAGTTTTCCTGACTAATTACTTTTTAATGATGTTTACGAGTTGTGGAAAATAGTTGGGTTGAAATATAATGCAAGGACTTCCCAGTAGATAGTCGAATGAAAACTATTACATATCAATAAAATTTATTGTTGCGTTTCATGTTAACATGTTGCAACAACTCCACCTTCCAATAAATTCAATAATTTGCAAACATGAAAAAATACTATCTATAACTTTTCAACGTGTGTTTCCAGCTAGAGGACAATTGTGAAACAAGAATAGCCAAAAGAGAAAAAGTTTAAAATAATTACAGGTTCAAACACGAGTTGAAAATTACTTTTCTTTTTAATTTTCTACGCTAAACAGAGGAGGTGAAACGTTAGCGAAAAACGGTGGGGAAAGCAGTCATACCCTGCAACTTCAAGAGAAGATATGGGAGACGTTTATACGATTCTGGTGTAGTGTTTTCCGACCAACTGTTCTCACGTGTGTACTCTCCAATCTACCGGTGATGTCTCAATGCGTAGTAGTTTACCGTCGTCTCTTTCAAATTTTAGCTCTTTTCCCAAACCGAAATTACGAGTCTCGTTCAACAGAATATAATTTCAATTGCTGCTGGCATCATACACTTTTTCTGAAGAGGAAGTCATTCCTTATCTTCAAAATTTGCTCAAGACACCAGGAAGATTTTATGGAGGTCTCAGCCGCTTGAAGATACCGCTGACTAGCATGCGCGTTGATTGCTTTGCAAGTTGTGAGGACATCGTCCCCAGGTTCTAGACCTCGTCAATTCTTCCCCCCCCCCCCCCCGGATTGGTTCCTAAATCCCCTCGAAGAAACTCCTCTACAGCCAGTGCTGAATAGTTTTATTACAGTTTCTATTATAATGAAGAGCTGAAAAATAAATTAATGAGAGCTCCAATTTTAGGCTTGGCTAAATCTATTAATTTATTTGTATTCTTCCCCAGCTCGCTAGATAGCTCAGTTTGAAGCCTCATGGAGATCTTCGCCATAGACGTCGACATATATCGAAACGCAAAGATCGATAGTAATGTTACACTACTTATAGGACTTTTACCTTCCAAAAGACAAATCAACAAACAATACAGCAATCTTGGAAGTCCTATACTACTGTGATTTTTATTGAGTTATGCGACAATCGTCATAATAGCCTGTAATTCGATCCTGCTTTTTTTTATTCAATTTTAAGGACGCAAGATCTTTGCTACTTTCACAAAGTCTACTTGCATTACGACAATGTCAGTGTAAAAATCCTTCAGCATAGTGGATGCTTTCACAGCAACGCCATAAAGTATTATAGCCGAGGGTGCTGCCATTGTTGGGGTCTGGACAAGAATCGTAACACCACCAACTGAACTGAGGGTTGAGTTATTGACAGCGGTGGTGCTGGGGCAAAGACCTAATGTTTGGGGCTGGCCAGGCTTTACAAAAGAAGGAAACAGTTTTGGTTTACCTTAAACTCAATGCAACTGCATATTTTTAGCACTCAAAGAATGAGTCGTACAAATAGCATGCTCTAGGAACTTAAAACCAGGAATTTGAGCAAACATTTTGCGTGACAAGTCTTTATCTTCACAGAGTGGAAAGGCCCGTTATCTGCAAGTAATTCCTTAATAAGTAATTTCAACCAAGATTTTAATTATCATACCTTTAATGCATTCAGAATTGCGTGAACAAAAATTATGGTATTTTCAACTTTCCACCTAATTTCCTGAAGCTGAAGCGTTACATCTCTCGCAACTAAAAAAGCGCTGAGTTTCCCTTCTAACGTTCTTATGAAAGGCAGAAACACTTTCAAAAACGATAGTTCACTTCTTAAGAGCTTTGAGGCTGCTAAGGAAAAACACTCAAATTAGAATTGTTGAACAGAGATCAAGCTCCGGAAGGGAAGAGCCTCTTGCTGTGAAATTTTTTCCAATTTCTCTTGGCAGTAGTAACTGACGATCAGCCGTCTCCGGGGTTTGCCTTCCCTTAATGTGTCGTGAAGAGCTTAGAATGATAAAAATGCCACCATCCACCACTTCATATCTGTGTCTCACCATTGTTTCATTCTCGGTTTTTTTATTCCTCGTCTCCAATGTTATTATTTTTCCCTCGCCATGTAAGCAGAGAGACGAAATATTTCAAATGAAAAACGCGGAGAAAAAAGGCGATCTCAATTTAATGATGCAAAACCAGAATTTGGTTGGTGGCGATTCTCGAGCGAAAGGGTACATGCTTTATACAAATAACAAACAGGTAATTGAAACTGAGTATCGTTCCATTGGCAAAGAAGTAAATGAGTATGATATGTCTCTCACCATAGTTTTCTTCGTAGCATGTAATTGTTGGATAGTTGTAACTGTTGACCTTACGGAAGCCGTCTGGTAACTTTCTTTCAGCCATCTTTTTTCCTACAATTGAGGCAGGAAAATGTTGCAAAAATTGGTCGATTTAAAACATTTTTCACTTTGGTACTTATACTCTTGGTAATTTGGGTACTTTTGTTATTTTGTAGAAATAACTAAGGCTGTCCCTGCACAACCCTTTTTAAACAGTTATGAAGAACACGTCCATGGTACTCCAATCCTTTGGGGTCTAGAACTGCGAAGAAGAAGATTTCCCATCCATTCCTACCTTGCCTCCGAGCCCTTAGCACCAAAATATTTAATGCTGCTCTGTCCAAACGGAAAGAGGACTCGATTTTCCTTATTTTCAATTCCATTGGTTGGACTGAAATGACTCCATGGTGCGTCAGAACCTTTTTTATTATGTTGAAGATATCCTTCATTGGTTCCTTCGGCTTATTGTGTTTGCTAATATCATGCATAAGGGGGAGATTAAAATTACACCATCATTGATCCCTAATGAAATATCAAGTGCATAATTCTTGGTTAAGGATGCTCACAATCGTTTCTTTTGCCTTGAGTACATCTACACTCAACTCTAGCAGCACTGGAAGCAATTTGTTTGGTTGAGCCCTCGTTTTCGTATCAAACTGGCATCTCTTCTAAGTTATTGCCGTGGTGATCAATATGGAAAAGACAGGAAACAAAACTATAAAAAAAGAATGGATGAAATGATTAGGCAAGTTGTCAGTATATACCAAGAGATAGCAAACTATTTGCCACAAAAAGTCTGTAGCCAAAGCTTTACTCAGGAGAGCTGACTGTGTACCATCTTCACTCGATTCGAAGGCTGAGGAGAGGAAATATGTTTCTACTGTCTTAAAGGCAAATAGCTACACAAAAACCTTTCTTCGTAACTGCCAAAAACCAGTTACAGCTAGTAGCAACCCTAATGAAAAAGAACCAACGACCGGTTTTGCTGTTATTCCTTACATTCAGACCTCTTGTTGCAGCGTTTAGATCACCCATGACGAAGACACTAGACAGGATTGTCGAAACGTTGGGTCTATGATTTCTAACTTCTTCGGTTCCATTCATTAAATCTGTACACCAGAGTAGCATCAAACCATGTCAGATAGCAAACTGTTTATTTATATTCTCTTATATATACTTAGTCGACTTTGAATAGAAAAATAATTTGTGTGATCGCCACCATGGAAAATATGACTGATCTGAATCAGTAAGTTTTTAGACTGGCAAGCTATTCCACATAACCTCTTCTTTTCGCATCAACTAGTTTCTTTTCATTAGTATCAGATTTCCACTTCCGACCAGAATCAAAGTAGACCTAAAAAGAGTATATAAAGAGGATACGTTTGAGGGTTAGCCTTGGCAAAAACTCCAGTAGCTCAACTATTATAGGTAATACCTCTATTCGTCGGTAAAATAAGGTTCCACTGAGACAAATCTAGTTAGGCAATCTCATATACTCATGATGTCTTCGTAAAGTTTTAAATTTACACCCTACTTACCTACAGGTTCTTGGTAGGGACTGAATCGGTTATTTCCCTCCGTTTTGAGAACTTTGATCCTTTAAACAGGTGAATTGAGTTCCTTTAGGCTCTTTTGTCTGAGTCAGTGGCAGTACCTTGCAGTGTGACAGTGCAAGGAAAAATATAGTGTGCGTTAGGGGATTTAAGGCAAGAACGATAATCAATCTTTCTCTGATACATCTCGTGTGTTATCTCGATACATTTAACTATTGGAGCCTTTATCCTAGAAAAAAGTACCAAATAAATTCTAGTATCATGCTGGATTTTGCCGATAAGTTCCTCTGACTTTGCGAGCTACATTATCCTGGAGTCTTAACGGTAACTTTTTTATGCCTGCACCTTATGTATTATTTACTGTAGTTTTTAATCGCCGTTATTACGAAGCAAAACAACCTAAGGATATCGATCATGTAATAGTGTAGTTTGATCGTCCTGGTGAGAGTAGTCCTGAGAAGGACTGTTGTCGGTAGTGGTGACTGACGTTTCGACAACCCGAGCGGAAGTCATCATCAGAGCAATTGAAAGGTTGTTGTCAGTCGAATGTACTTAGTCCGGTTTGTGTACACTGATTGGTCAGTTTTGCCGTGATGTTATTGGCTGTAAGACTCAAGTGGCGTAGGTCAGTTGTGATTGGTCTGTTTGGATCCGTTAGTGAAGTTAGGTCGTTCTGCTCGGTTCGTTTGTAATGTTAATGTCGTGGATGAGTCGTTTGTATGGTGCCGGTAGTGGTTGACACCTGTTGAGGGGAGTCTGTTTCAAGTTAGTAAACCAGCTTTTCAGGGTCAGTCGTTGAAAGTAGTTGGTGCTGTAGGTTAGGTATTGCGCAGAGTCCCGGTCAATAGTGTGGTTCGTAAGTCGGTGATGTTCAGCAATGTGATTGTTGACATCACCTTTCCTCGTCGCTCGTTTGTGTTCAGTCAGTCTAGTTGCGAGGTTTCTGCCGGTCTCACCGATGTAGGAGGCGTGGCAGTCGGAGCAACTGATCTTATATACTGCTCCTTGTCTGTTCCTCGGTTCGTCTCTGTCTTTGATGTTAGTCAGTAACTGACGTATTGTGGTAATAGGTTTGTGAGCGACGCGGCCACTATACCATACATAAAGGGCATATCTGAGAACATCTCACGCATCCTACAACCATTCAATATCCGCGTCGCTCACAAACCTATTACCACAATACGTAGACCAATCACAACTAACCTACGCCACTTGAGTCTTACAGCCAATAACATCACGGCAAAACTGACTAATCAGTGTACACAAACAGGACTAAGTACATTCGACTGACAACAACCTTTCACTTGACTCTGATGATGACTTCCGCTCGGGTTGTCGAAACGTCAGTCACCACTACCGACAACAGTCCTTCTCAGGACTGCTCTCATCCGGACGATCAAACTACACTATTACATGTTACCCCCGGGTTCAAACCATTTACCGATATCGATCATTTTGAATATTACAGATATTTCTATCATTGATCAAAGACTATGATTTATTTCTCTTTGTTTCACCCAAACTTTCTTCAGCTACTGTTTTACTTATGTTGTTCTTGAGCTTTTGAATGTTCTACATTATCACTCTAGGAAAAATGTAGAAATTTACATTGTATTTGACCATACAGAGATTAAAAATTAACCGGATAACATTAATTAATAAGCTCCGTTACAAATATTCGTCAGACTGATCAGCTGTTTATACCGGATGATCGCTTGTTCTTATTAACGTGACAACAGAGTCTCTACTACTAAATGTTGACATAGTATATTCCCCTATATGAAAAAAACAAAAAAAAGTTTTCATGGAAAGTGATATTTGCCAACATTATTTATTCAAATTTGAATTTACTTCGCTCTAAGTTGAAACAATTGGCTGGCCTTTTCAACATGAAATAATTTTCCAACGCACTGTTATAAAGAAGGACCGTCACTTAAATCAGAAATGGACAACCAGCATTTTAGAAAAATGATTCAGTATAGTAAGAATAAAACAAAACAACATCCAGTGCTAATTTATTCATTTTCATAACAATCAGAACACGTAGACATGATGACCACTGAATAAATTACTCCGTTCTTTACAGAAAAGATGGTTTGTGTCGCAGAATACGTAGAGGATAAGTTCAGGTCATGTCCAAACGATGATTCTTACTTCGTTCATCATATATTCCCAAAGGTGCATGCGGTGAATCACTTTTAAAGATGATTTCTTTATGCGCTTTTTCTTGTCATATAAACAGAATGTCATATAAAATAGAAAATTACTTCACTTTCGCTTAATTTTGTCCATTAAGTGGTCATATGCTATTCTTAAATGCTAGATACTTTCCCGTTAATATTACGTGCATCCTCCCTGGATTCAAATCTTGTCTTAGTTTTCTGAACATGTTACCGTCAGTTGATAAGCTTTTCCCTGCCTCTTGAACATGCACTTGTTTCATTTTTAGACAATGATGTTATTGATACTGGATACCAAAACACGGAGGCAAAAGAAGACAAAAGGAGCCTACTCTGTTAAGAGTTCAAGTTATTTTGAAATAAGTTTTAGGGACCTTGACGGTAGAAGGATAGGGTTTATTTTTCAGGGAGCAGGTCGGGCATAGAAACACTTTCATTTTTAAACCTTTAAGGCGACAGTTTTGCTGTTGTGTTTTTTTTATTGTAGGACTGAGGCCTAGAGAAGTAAAATACATATTCGTTAATAACGATTTTCTTTTCATTGAGGAACGGTTGCAGTCAGAGAGCAACTCACGTTGTTAGGCTTGGCTAAATCTATGTATCAAGATAAAACCGCAGATAAAACCATTATTTTTAACTCTCTAAAATAATCATCCTCTGCACTGTCGCCTATTTTTGTCTATGTTTAGAGGCATTAACGAGAAATGGTAGGAGATATTCATTTTACCTTTAAAGTTGGCAACATCTAAAAAACGGCAGTTTAGTAAGCTCATGAGGAGACTTAACTTATACATGTCAATAGCACGTTATAGGTATCTGGACAATACATACAGTCGCTTCTATGAATCGCTTGCTAACATATTCGTAATACTTATGTCGCTTGTATTAGTTCATTTGGATCTACCGTTTAACTGTTTAAACCGGCTGACTGTTTAAACTGTCTCTGTCTTGAATACTGGATTCCAAGAATTCTTCTTGTGTATGAGAGATTTTGTCTGAACGACTTTTATAAATGCAGACATTAACCTTAGACATTCAAAGTTTTTCAAGCTGTTAACCGTGGCCAGTTCCACAAAAAAACATTGAACAAGGACAGTTGTACTTTTTAAGGCTCGAAGTATGATCGTCATCTTTTGTAAAGGGTACTATTGGAATGTGTCTCCAAAATTTCCGCGGAATAGTTATACTGGCTTCTTCATGTTGATGAAAAGCTGGGCACGTCATATATATACCTCTCTGCATGTATCTTTTCAAAACTGGGGTTTCCCAATCAGCTTCTGCTTCTTTGTTGTTTCCACAAAAAAATTATAAAGACTCCAAGCAGTCCTCTGGTGAATTGAAGGAATAACAAATCGAGAATAACGGGCTACGCACTTTAATTTCATCTTTGAGAGAGTCAAAATAGCCATAAGTTAAAGAAAGGTTATTTGCCTTGTAATTGTTTCGAGAGAAGCAGTCAACCAAATGGTAGGTGCCAGTTGATCTAACACGCCAAAAATTTCTAATAGTGGCAGGACAGATCCAATGAATGACGAGGAGTCAGAAATATCCTCAGACAATACAAATGCGCAACGACTAAAAAGTTCTTGGCAAGAAAAAGACAAATAATAAAACACGAAAACAAAGGAACAATGAAAATGGGACTCAGTCCAATGCCAAGATCTCCGATAATTCCATTATTGTTGCCGCCAAAAATTCGATTGGCGTATCTTTACAAATTCGAACTCTTCTTTTGTCACATTTTATCCAGACCTTTTGTGCTACGCGCATAACTTTCACCAATGTTCCGTTACTTTTTCCTGAATAATTTCCTTTTGTTTATGTCGCTTGTATTAGTTCATTAAGATCTACCGTTTAACTGTTTAAACCGCCTAACTGTTTAAACCGTCTCTATCGATCGCTTTACGTCGCTTTAAATCGTCTTTAATT